GCAGTGGGGGGCTGAGGGAGCGTCCAGCTGAAGCCTGGCTGCAGGTGTACCCTGAAAGTCGTCTTCGTCATGTTGTCCCGTCTTCTGCCCAAGTGTCATGCCACGCTGCCGTGACGACTGCTTCGTCGTTTTGGACAACTTCGCGCTGCGAAGGCCGGATTTTCCCTGCTCGCTCTCCTTTCTTTGCCTGTTGCCAGTGCCAGTCAGGCCCCCTTGCTGGTTCCTGAGCAATGTTTTTAGCAGCTAACCAGAAAGATTCCTACTGGTGTGGCAGGGAGCCCATCTCTCAGTGGTTTGTGTGCAAAGGGAGATACGTACCTGTTCTCGGTGAGCTCTTTTGTTCCAGAAAAAAGGGGGTTTTTGAGGGGTGAAGTGGGAAGCAGCAGGGAGATGAACCTTTATGCTGCTCGTGCATGGTTCTTTGGAAGTTTAGTACTTGCCCATGTAATAACCCTGTTTGCCCTGGACTCCCGAACTTAAGACTTAGAATCGTAGAAAGAAACATCAGCAAAACCACAGACTCTTTTGTAGTTTCCTACTGATTACTGCCAACCCAATGTCCTAATCTTCTGTTTCATGGAATGGTTAGGGTTGGAAGGGACCTCAAAGATCATCTAGTTCCAGCCCCCCTGCCACGGGCAGGGACACCCTCCACTACACCAGGTTGCCCAAAGCCTCATCCAACCTGGCCTTGAACACTTCAGGGATGGGGCAGCCACAACTTCTCTGGGCAACCTGTTCCAGTGCCTCACCACCCTCTGAGTGACAAATTTCTTCCTTATATCCAATCTAAATCTGCCCTCTACTTCTCTTGATCTATGAGACATACAGGAGAGGTTTTAAACAAAAGTGAGATTAACGGCAGGCGATTCGACCAAAAGACTGAATGCTGGAGTTTAGTAAGAAAAGCAAGGTGCACATCCCTTTTGAAAACCAGTTTCCTACCTTCAGTTGGAAACCTGCTGCAGAAGTTACAGCCTTATGAGTTGGTTTTTTTTAAATCATAAACCCATCTTCGAGTTTTGTTCTGGTGGTCTGTTCGCTCTTCTGACCTCCAAAGTATTCTACAGAGGAGAAAGCATTGATTTAAAAACTAGTTTAAATTCTACTTTGGTCTTCGCTTTTCCATGGAGATTACATAAAAGCTTAACCTACATTTTTGGTTACAACTACTTCCTGCAGCAAAGGCTGAAGGAAATGTTCCAGCGTGACTTCGAGCTAAATTCGTAATGATGTGAAATAAGATCGTTGGTTAAGTCATGATGTGTAAAATCCTGCCTTTATGTAACACCTCAAATGCTGTTGTATAGCATGTAAAATGCAAAAATCAAGTAATGTCTATGCTGTACCTGGAGACATTGTGCAAATTGATACGTTTTGAAGACAACAGCTTGAAATTACTTTTTCTTCATCTTTTTTTTTGGTGTAACATACTGATCTCTTTGAAAATAAGAATTTTTCCTTTTTTATCTCTTGGTTTTCTTCCAGAACAGGTTTTAAGGTATGATTTACATCTCAAATATGTTCCTAACAGGTGTCTTTTTTGATTCCTGAATGCGGCATGCTACCTGAAGTGCTGAAAAGTACCATTGCGGATATTGGAGAGTACTACCTGGTGAGGAGTTTATCGGTTCATGAATTGGTCGCTCATGATTTCATTGATGCTTTTGTGAAGAAAGGTAAGAAGGTAATCAGGACATGCCAGATGCAATGATAGTGTGTATTTTTCGTATCACAGTAAAAATCCAGTTATTTTTGCTTATTCTGAAAAGTATTTTAAAGGAAGGGAAGAAAAAATACTAACAAAGTTCTGTATTAATTTTATCTGCTTTTTTCTGCTTCGTGGTGTGTCAACATTTCTTTACACCCAGTGGGTCCAAAACTTCCATGATTCTTCCCTCTTCATGTCTACCTGTTGCATCTGAATTCTGCAAGCCAGCTGTCAAGAGGGCTTCCATGTATCCTCACACCTGTTTCTTCACTTCATCTTTATGCAGCTTCCTGCAGAAATCAGCTCCCTTCTCCCTTTCTGATTCCTTCATATTTCAACACAGAGCTGTGTTCCTCAGCAGGCAAGAGAAAAAGAGGAAAAAATAAGCTGCGGGTTGGTTTGTTGGGATTTTTTTTTGGCTAATGGAGCTGCAGTGGCTCATCCTTACACAGTAAGAGTGAAGAGGATGTGAAGAAGGATGCAACCTCTGCTCGGCCAACTTGCTGTTGCATACTCAGGAGCGTGCTGTTTTCATCTAGCAGGCCCTGCTCATTTGGCTCATGATAAATGTTGTACCTTTCAGGTGATTGTCAGGGAGAAAAAAAGCTTGAAAGGGAAAAGAGAAGAGAAAAGAGAATATATGGGTGAAACAGGAGAATGAGATACATTACTTTCTAAATGTGGGACTCTCTGCTTATTTCCTTTAGTCTCATTAATGACTTTTATGCCAGTGGTTTATGGAAGCAGTATGACAGTTGCACACTGACTTTACAGGATCTGACTCTTGTGTTTTTAAAAACAAAATTGATTGTGGCAGATGCTGCTACAAATATTGAGTAAGGTGGAAAGAAAGTGTTTTCATATCGGGGCACATTGTTAATGTTACTCATTTCACACGTCCCTTAAGATAGCACCAGTCCAAGGTGTAAAAAAATAATAACAAAAAGGTATTTTGCTTGAGCAGGTGAAAGAAAGTTGATGAAAACACAAGGGTTTGGAGTGAGTCAAATGGTATTTGGCATGTCGAATTATCTTGAGGTGAATGTTTCATGTTGTCACGTCTGTCTTTAAAGACCGTGTGATCTCATGGCTTTCTGCTTTATTGTTAAAGGTTCATGCTACGCACTTACCTATAACACAAAAATTGATCAAGATAATACTGCAGCTCTGCTACCAAATGGTAGGTTGTTTTGTTCTGGTTTTAGTTATACATATGCATTGATTGTGGTCTTTTTTTTTTTTATTTGGAATGATGTACAATGGAAAATGTAATGCTTACTGTACTTGCCAAATTTATTGGCATATATTCAAACAGAATCTATATCTATATTCAAACAGAAATAGGTTTGAATCAGAAGAATATTCATTTTAACTTCTTTTTTTAATTCATGATGTTAAATTCTTTATTTAATCTAAAGGAAATTAAAAAAAAAAATCACCTTTGCTTACGTATAGTGTCAGATTGTCAGTGCTTCAGCAGTAACTGCAATTGCTACAGAGGATTCTTTTTGTGAAAACATTACTTTCCAACTTCTCATTTCTTACTGGTCTTATAGACAGAATTTGTACCAAAAAAAGAAAATTATCAGCACTGCTGCTTAGGAACACTTCTTAAATATTCGGTATTTGTTTTGTGAGAATTATGTAACATTGTAAAATACTCTGTTGCAGTTCCATCAACGGTTTTGTGACAAAATGTTACATCTTAAGTGAGATTTTACATGCAGAGGAAATAATGAAGCTATTTTGGGCTTCACTTCCTATTTCCATTTAACAGTGTATCAGATATGACGGAAACACAAGCTGATCTATCAGCCCTCTAGCCTCACATGCTGTAATATGGCAGGTGCCCCTCAGGGCGTAAGTAAATCCACCTTCTTCAGAGGATGGATTCTTTTATGTGCTCCGTTAGCCCAGTCCTAGTGAAATGGGTGCTTGATAGCGATGGAGTTTGTAGGATACAATTATCACAAGCTCTGCACAATTAGTGCAGAGACAGTGTTACATTTTTTATGTTCAGTTGAGCGGTGCTTGTGTTTTACCAGGCCCTAGTGTAGTGTCGTGTTCAAGCAGTGCCACAGCAAATGCTGGGGGACAAGTGGAGGAAAGACTGAGACAATGAACTGAGGCAGTACGGTAAAAAAGCTACAACTAGCTCAGGAATAATATTACACTTTTCTCATTCTAGTTCATAAGACCTCTTTGATAAAAAAGATTAATTGAGTTATAGGTTTTTTTTAAAGCGTTTTTTAATCTGGTAATCTGTTTAACTGGAACTAAGGAGTCTGGATTGCATTAGTAATACCATTGGTCCAAAGCTAACATTGTATGAGGTAGACAGTTCTCGCAAGACTTCAAAGGGAACTAAGCAGAAGATCATTTGTATTAAAGTTTGTCTTGTTTATAGGAAAACTAATTCTGTCAGTGGATAAAGACACTTACGAGGAACTTGGACTGCAAGGTCGCCCTTCTCAGTATTCTGGCAAAAAAGTGATGAGATATAGTGAGTATTATTTGCATTAAACAGTGTTTATTTCAAATCTGTCTGTGAAACACCTTGTTAGGATGTTAAACCAGCAGTGCTGAAGCTTTTCTTTCCTTAAAATTTGTTATTGTCTAGGTCATATTTTTCCAGGTGCAGATACAAGGACTGAATGAAGATCAAAAGTACTTTTTCCAAATAATAAAGCAGCTATAAGGAAACAAATGTGTGATTTTTTTTTTTTTGTATTTATAAAATTTTTCGTTTCTGGGTTTTTCATTTTTTTGTTTATCCTGGAGTGATGTAGGACTCAAGAATTTTTGTGTGCAATGTCTATGCCTTCTAATTTAAATTGGAAAATACTAAACTAATGAAGGTGGAGCTTAGAATTTGCACACTATACACAAAAAAAGTCAATGAAGAGCTTTACCCAGGAATGCTTGCTTGAAAGGGAGAATTTTATTATGTTAGACACATTTAAAATGGTAGTCTCCAAATACTTGGGAAATGTTCTAATTTTTTTGACAGCTGTAGAGGAGACATACTGAGTGTGATTTTTGTTAAATTTTTTTTTGATAGTGATTAAAAAAGAACATGAACGCTGACGTCTCAAATGTATTAGAACCTGCAGTATTCGATAGGTAAAAAATTTAGGAGGAGAAACTTGTTAGTTGTAGTAAGAATTTTGGCCAAATGGGACGTCATTTCACTGTTCAGTTTGTCAAGTAAAATACGTGATGAAACTTCTGTCTGGAAAATAAATGTAACTTTTAGCCTGGGACCAGTTCATCTAGGAAAAAACAGATGAAAAAGTGTCGTTGCGTGGCTTTGATGTTAGAAACTCTAGCTTTTTTAGTGCTAATAGCTTCTCTAATTACCAAGATATTTTTAAGACACTGTTTTGGGACTTCTGTCACTGCCATTACAAAAGGAATCAGTCCCTCCAGTCACTGGAAGGCAGTTCCAGATTATAACAAAATAAGGACAGCAGGAGGTGACTATTTATTTACATAATGGAGTCATGTTTGCATAATCAAATACATCACAAGATATGTGAAAAGGAAGTTTAATGTTCTCTGGTTTCTTTGTGTTCTTTCAGTTATGAATGGATTTAATATTAAAATTTATTTCAGTTGAGTATTGCTTTGGTACGTTTTTGCAGTTATAACTATTGACTTGACTGATTCCGGCTTTCACCCTGATAGCAAGAAACATAACAGAGTGCTTTGGGCCTTGAAAGAAAAGAAACCTTTGGAATTTGACTTCCTGCTGGCTTGGGATAATACAGGTAATAAGAGCTAAACATGAAACTAAAATGTAACTGACATGAAGTCCAAATATTTTCAGTTTACTCTTCTTTTATAGTCATTTTCCAAATGCATTTTTAGTGGAGAGAAAAGTGAGATTAAGATGTGTTTGGGTGGGATTTTTTGTTTGTTTTGTTTATTTGTTTGTGAGGGGAGTGTGTGTGTTTAACTTCCCATGCAGCAGAACATTTCAGTTCAGGAACACAACCGTGATTCATGGGAGGTCTATGAGTCACTTCATTTCCTTGCCTCTGTTTCCCAGGCTTTCTGGCATAACTTCGCCTGTTTGATAGCGCTGCCTCTTCTTTATAAATCTGTTATTTAACATAACTATTATTAATACACTTTTTTTACATGTCTTTATTAATACACATAAGTTACATGTTTGGTGTGGTGCTTGAGACAGGGAACTTTCCGTGTCATCAGCAGTTGCAGGACACGTACAGAGTCTCTGCCTCTGTCGTGTGCCGTGTACATGGATGCACACGCAGCCTGCTACTTTATCTTTTTATTCTCAAGCACTTGTTTGGGATTGCAGCAGAGTGAGAGATAGTTGTTACAAGAAATTGTATTGTCTCAAATCGCCTTTCTTCTATAATTTTTTTACCTACTGTTTTCTGGCTACATTATTCTTTTCTTCTGGGATTTAAGTATTGTTCTTTCTCTGAGGGTCCTCAGTCGCTCATATTACTTCAGAACAGGCTGTATCTGGGCATACGTAGGATTTGCGTAGAACTGACAAAAGCTGCAGGAGTCTGTGCTGCAAAAAAAGATGTTTTTCTTCATCATAGTGATGTAGCTTTTAGTGTGGCCCTACTTCGAGTCATGAAGAAGTCTCCACCCTAGCAACAAGAGATGTTAGAGAGGTCCCTGAGAGTGCTTTCTTGTCTTCTCTTTGCATTGGTACTCTTCCCTGGCTCTTCAGGACCAGGTCTGAGAGGGAGTTAGTGATCTGAGAAATTAAAGCTGCTTACAAGCTCCTTGAATTGTGTCCCATGTTTCACTGCAGTCCTTCATGTTTCCCTTCCCCTTTTTAGGTACTAATCAAATGACAAGGGTCCTTCCTTGTTTGTCATGCAGAAATGGTTTAAAGGCTTGCAGTTCCCATCCTTGTGGTCTTCAGGAAAGAGTCACAGTGAAGACTTCCTACCACAAATGGTGACTTAAATCCAACTAAGGTGGCAGATCTTCCGGCTCAGCTTGCTTGGGTTTATTGACCCTGGAAAGAGAGCAAAATGCCTCTAGGGCCAGTAAGTTTTTTTACGTTTGCTGCTGCCAGTATAGCAGCATTCAGGAAGGATAGCATTCCTTTTCCTCATTTTCTTGCATCCAAAAAACAGGTCAGGTCAATCATTTCCTGAATATGCATTTAAATCTGAAGGCCTTTTTGTTCAGGAATCTTGTGCTCATAACACAGGAAAGACAAAATAAAACTTTTATAGATTTTTATTAATAAGCTTGAGACATCGTGTAGATTCTGCTGGAATGGGAAAAGAGGATTTTGTTGACAGAATCTGTGTACCCTGTGAACATCCTGCTTTCAGCCTTCTTGCTGATAACTGGTGTTTCTTGCTGGGGCTGGAAACATTCCTGTCACTTTCCAAAAGCCTGGAAACATTCATGTCACTTTCCAAAAGCAGGATTTTTTGTTTTCATACCCATTTTTCCCACTTACTGGTTCTGGCACCAAGAGGAACAGAAAAAGGGGATATGGAGTGTCTCATGTCTTTAATGACAGAGACAAAATAATTTTTTCTTCTCTTTTCTATTGCTGTATTTTCTATGACAGTTTTGAATGTTTATTGGCTGCAATTGACTGGCCACCAGAAGCCTTTGACGACGTGCCTGGTTGGTACTGACATGGAAAGCTATGCTGTAGCCAGAGGAATCGTTCTCTTGGAGTCTTGACTGTAGTCTTTGAGATTTCCTGGAGTTAGGACTATAGCTGAGGGTCCCCTATGGAGCGGACATTTGAAATGTACCATTTTTTATATTTGACTAAGAATTCTAGGGCAATATTATACGTTCTTCGAACCTACTAGTCTAATAAATGCCAATAGGTAGTACAGGCTGAAGGAAGATCATCTGTTCTAGCACCCTTCAGGCTTAAATATATCCATATAAAAAGACTAAACTAACAAGAATTCAGTGATTCCCTGTCTTTGTCACTGTGCCCTTTGGTAATCAGACCCCCTTTTTTGAAGGATGACTGAAAAGGATCAGGTTAGCTCTCCTTTTTCTACTTGCCCGTGTGATTGTCCTTGATGGAGTTTAGGCAGTCCGTAATTTTTGATAGCAAATCTTGGATATAGTATTCCGCAGTGAACTCTGTCCTGTTCTGGAATTTCTTCTGTTCACACATGCTTTTCCTGCAGTATTTAAATGCTATTCTGGACTTCAGACTTCTCACGAGTAATGTGTTGTTTCCTGGTCACCTAGAATCATAGAATACATTATCTGGAATTTCAAATTTAGGAGAACTGATTGCACATCAATTATCTTACTGCTTCAAAAAGGTAGTTGGTTAGTATCTCTTGATTTGCTTGCTTAGGTTAGATTAGGTTTTTAGTCTAGGTTAGATGTTTTAAATTTTACCTGCTGTTTTGGATCACTGAGTAGGGTTGAAGAAACACGGCCTTTCCCACAAGTCCATCAAGGTACATCTGTTACAGCCGTACTGCATTCAAAAACTTATCACTGTTTTTTTTTTTTCTTCTTCTGTTAAAGTGAGATTTGTGATACAGCTTGATTTCTTTGTCCTCTCCCCATCCTTCTCTCTTCAATCTTTGTTCCCCAGACTATCCTAGAATTCCTCTTGACGTCATCGATAAATCTGTTCTCACACTTGTAGTCCACCTGTTCACTTTTCCACTACTGGGGGAACACAGTGTTCTGGGATGGGGGACACCTTAGCCAGTTGGGTAGGAGAGTCTCTAGCCTTGATGACGAGATGACCTTCCAAAATATACCTTATCCGAAGATGATTTCTCAATTTACTGTACATCAAGAATTTTCCTCCGAAACCGTATGGCTCCTAAATTAAGTTTGCCATCACAGCTAGGAAATCAAGTATGTGGTCCTTAGTGATGAGATAAAACTTTGCAGGAGGATTCTTGCACATTCTTGTCTGCTGAGAGAACTGAGATCCTCTAACCTGACATGCAGAAGAGAAGACTGAGTGCCTTTTGGGGCAACAAAAAGGGAAACTTCCTGCAGTTGTGAAGGCATGTTCCAGGAGAATTTAAATGACACTCTAGCTTTTTGCAAAGTATTCCTGAGATGTGTAGGCATTTATTCCATGGGAGTTGTTCACGATTCCAGAAGCCATACTGTATCTAGGAGGCAGTTCTGAGTGAACTAGTGATGCTGGGATCCCTCTAGACACTCAGTGGTTCTGGAGGGAACACTGCCCGAATTCCAGTGACCTTAGTTCCCTTTATCTGCTCTTAGAGATGCGTTATCTTTGTGAACGTCTACCACGTGTTCTCCCTCTCAAGTTACACTGCCAGAGGAGTTTCTGGAGATGCTGAGCTAGAGATGACCTAATGGTGTAAGGCATGCATTGCCCTTCTACAGCAGCGAGTACCTGAGTCTGAGCACAAGGGGAATGTATGTGTGGGCACTAGGAGGGCAGAATGTTCTCTGGCCTCTTGTATGTAGGCACAGGTATACTTACAGTGGGAGTGCGTTTGCAGACTGCTTTGTCCTGGGGAGCAGTGAACATTGGTTCCTGCTCCCTTTCTTGTGTTCCTTTTCCAGAACACCCTGAATTCCTCTTTCCAATGAGTTCATTTTATTACTTGCTGAGTTAATTCTGCTTGAGTTTTCTGTTGGCAAATCTATACTTGCTAGTTAAATAGTAAATTTACTGAGTTGCTGAATCTTGGTTAATTGTGATTTCCAAGAAGATAAGGAAGCTGAAGATTCCAGGTAAGCAGTTTTGCACACTGCATTTTCTTGTATACATACTCAAAGGCTTCATGTATTCAGTGCTCCTTTTGTTCAGCACTTTCTTAACAGCTCTTTCCGGTGTTTTGTTGTTAAGGTGCAGAGGGATCCATATTGATGTCGTACTTTTCAAAAAACCAAATACAGGCCCTGAAGCCAAAAATAACTTTCAGCACGTTAAGAGACTTGCAGTGTCCAGTGTTACAAAGCAATGAACTACAAGGAAAGCCAGAGGAGTCCTGCAGTGCAGAGGAACTGTTTGAATGGCTAGGCGCTGTCTTGAATCAAGTTAGCTTGTAAGTATTTGCATTTGTTTGGTCTTTAAGTACATTTTAAATAAGGAAAGCCACAAGGCTTTATTTAAAAAAGTTCAATAAGAATTAAGACAAACATGTTTCTGTAAGTGGGAAGTCTCTTATGAACTTAAGTGTTCATTGTAAGTCTTTAATAATTTACCTGTGTTTTTAAGGGTACCCTTGTGTATTGGTTTTGGCTGGGATAGAGTTAATTTTCTCCACAGTAGCTGGTGTGGCACTGTGTTTTGGATTTGTGACTGAAGCAGTGTTGATAACACAGGGATGTTTTAGCTATCACTGAGCAGCGCTTACACAGAGTCTAGACCTTTTCTGCTTCTCACACTGCCGTGCCAGCGAGGATGGGGATGGACAATAGGCTGGGAGGGAACACGGCCACGACAGCAGACCCCAGCTGGCCAGAGGGATATTCCACATCGTACAGTGGTGTGCTCAGCAGTAAAAGCTGGGGAAGGAAGGGTGGGAAATGTTCAGAGTTACACCATTTTTTTCCCAAGTGAGACAGCATGAAGCCCTGTGCTTTCCTGAAGATGGCTAAACATCTGCCTGCTGATAGGAAGTAGTCAGTGAATCTCTTGGCTTGCTTTGCTTTCACGTGCAATTTTTGGTATTGAATTGTCTTCACCTCCACTCATGTACGTTCTCCCTTTTACCCTTCTGATTCTCTGCCCCATCCCACTGGGAGGGGGCTGAGCGAGCGGCTGTGTGGTGTTTAGGTGCTTACCAGGGTTAACCCGCAGCACCGTGACATCTTGTGTATTAATTGCTTGACCATTAATTGCCTGGGTATTAAAGTAGATTATATGCATAGATACTACTTGTTTGATACAAGTTTCGATTACTAAGACTTCCTGTAGAAGACTTAACATGTATTTATTTTAGCTGTTGTTTTTTTTGTTGTGTTTTTTTTTTTTTTCCAGAGACAACAAATCATCTAGCTTCTTATCAACCTACTGCTGTCCTCAGCCCAACACAGTGGTGGAAAAAGCGTTTTTGTGCACAATCACAGGCTTTATAATTCCTGAGACAATAATTCAGTTATTGGAGCAGCTGTGGTAAGGGTTGACAGGTGTACATTACTAAAACACTTGTACTGTAACACTTTTTAACTTTCAAATCACTTTTAAATACTTCTTTTTAGTAGTGCTGTTGGATGTAAATAGCAAAATACACAAAATGAAGAATTTTTTTAGTTAGGAAATGAACTGGAAGCTTAGCATTGTTATGAAGAAAGCAATAAACAATTTTGGATACTTGAAATTTGAAAATGCTTGCCCTGTATTCTAGTAATGACTTTGTTTTTAATCTTAATTTCTAAGAAACAGTGGCTCTACTGAGCTCCTACATTTTTCAGATTCCCACTGTCTATGAAAATCAGATGCCCTCAAATATGCCTGATTTGATATTTTTAAGTACTGATGGAAAATACGATTGAAATCCCCTTATGATACCAAAAAGAGTATCACAAGGTACTTCAAGGCTATTACAACATTGCAATAAATTAACTTCTAGTGAGGTTTTTGAATCAAGTGTTGTAACGTAGGACACTGGTTAGCGATGAACGAGGTAGCTGTAGTTCTGATTCAGGACCAAACTACACAATACTAGTGTGTTTTCTGTTTTCTGAAAGACAATGCATGCTGCAGGAGATTCAGAACAGCTACTTTACAACTTAGAACTTCTTCTCATTGCGTAACTTGCAGATTTGTGCTGTCTAAAAGTATGGTAGGAATAATCAAGAGTCAATCTTATTTCATTTCCTAAAGTCTTCTGATAGATTATTTTCTTTTGAATTTATTTATTACGTACTAAAGTAGGGTTTTTCAACTGTTAATTATAACTTTTCACTGAAGTGCCTGTGTCTCTGATTATTTTGCTTTATGCTGTCTATTCCATTATAATTATCGATTACTTTGTCTTCTTCCTTGCAGTTGCTATTTTGGTGAACCAAAACTGGCATATTGGCTGACCTTAACTGTGCATGGCTTTGCAGACAGCCCTGTTTCCTGGAGAGAAAGTGAACATGGTTTCCACAAGGGAGGAGAGAACTTGTACAACTTCGTCATTTTTAGAAATCTGGACTACTGGCTTCAAATGGCTGTGGGAACTAATGATGATTGTCCTCCATAAAGTTACATCTACAGAAGAAGTATTTTATAATCTCATGCTACTGTATAGAAACCTGATAAGGTAGTTTTTATAAAAGTAATTAGGTAACAAGTGAAGTACTAAGAGGCTGTATATGTTTTTCCATTATTTGTAGCCCTTAAAGGATGACCTACAATGGAAGGAATGGATTTTTGTTTCTTCACTGTCATACAGTGCATTCTGAAAGACTCCATAATTCTAGCTTTAAGAAAAAAGATACATTTTTAAGAGTTTAAATTCTCAGGAATTGACTGTAGGTGATTTCCTTTTATGCACGAGTAACTTTGGAATTTGAAAGTTAGGTTTACAGATTACTAGCTAAAATATTTGTGAGGAAAGCTCATTTTGGGATTTGTATTTGCTTTCTTTACATTAAAGATCTGTAAAAGCTTCAAATTCATGTTTAAGACACTTCAGCCTACATGCTAACAAATCAAAAAAAAAAAAAAAAAAAAGGGAGATGTAGCCTTCATAATTTGGTAGGCAGGAGGAGGAAAAAAGCAAGAAGGAGGTACATGACAGTGAGAGGAGCACCCATTGAACTTGGAAAAAGTGTAAAACCTTACTGACCTGATTTTTCGACTTTGCAGATCACAGCTGATTATCAGAAGTTGATTTTTAACAGTGATGCAAAAGGCTGCTGCTTGCTTTCTTAATTGACCTCCACACTCATGCTCCCACTCTCACCCCACCAAATCTCTACTTTTAAAAGTAGCTTGTGGTTCTTGCTTACAGGACAACTCACAGAGCTCAGATTTCACTGTCACGCTACTGCAGACACGATTCTGGGAAGAACACTACAAATATATCCTCAAACAATGCATTTGAAGTGAAACAGATTTTGTTAACAATAAACAGTAATGCTGAGAGCGTAGGCAGCTATTAAGAATCCAGGTTAACTCCTGTTGAAAACTGTGAAAGGTTGGGTGGTGGAGGGGGAAAGGGACGGGGGTTATTTGGGTTTTGATTTATGGATTGGATATGTATCATTAAAGTACCAGTGCAGTGCTAAAATGGAAGTTGTTCCCTTGGTGGAGCGAGAGATTGGTAATGGAAGGTAGGATGTAGCTGTAGTGGAAATATCAACATCTGCTATCAAGGAGAGTGGCACAGAAAAGCAGAACGCCTGTGGGAAGCAGTTGAGTTTTCTTTTTTTATCTGTTTATTGGCTCTCGTCAGTGAGGAGGAGTCATCCTGGATGATTTACTGGATGATATTTGTTTGTCATACACCTCTACTAGACATAAGTGCTTTTGCTCAAGTTTTGTTACATGTTTTACAAACACAACTCTGATGAATGAGCAAACAGTTTTCGAAATCATTATGTTGTTTTTCAAAATTATCCTGCCATGAGATGCTTCTAGTAGGTTACCAGGAGCAGAAGTTCCACCTTGTCACATGTACAGACATAGACTCACACGATCACAGGCTGCATGGACAAGAGTCTAGGAAAGTTCTTGGCTTGACACTTGACTAGTAAATGCTTAACAGGGCTGGCTCAAACATTGTGCTTCTTTACTATGCATCAGTGCAAATGGTTTCAGTTGTTGGCTAAATATGCTTTTGAAAGTATCTGTGGAGAGATTATGCCATGTGTCGGCTTTCACAAAAGAAACTAGTAACCAGAAGTGTCTTCCTTTTTCCTCTTGATCTGAAGGTCTTTTAAAAACTTGGGCAGTCCTGGAAGTTACACCTGCAGCATAAGTTCTAATACAAAGTTAAAAATCTTAAATCTTTATGAAGAATTGGATGAAGTTTGTAGGTGCTCCAGTGAATGTGTTCATGTTTCTGTCAGATTCTAGTAAAACTTTCCCCCACAATGTGTACACACACACACACACGCACGTATAATCTGTACTGCTTGGAGAGAAAAAAAAAACATCCAGAAGTAAGACTCTTGTGGTGCTAGGTTTGTTTCCCTTATCAACTCGGAGAAAGGAGTGAAGGCTTATGCTTCATAGTACTCCCAGCAGGATGCAGCAGCTGTTGGTCTTGGCTCTGAAATGGCAGCAGTAGGACCAGGTGAAGTGATTTTTCTAATTGGCACCTGGTTGCAGAGCACCTTGGGATTGCTGATCAATCTGCTGCAGAAGTGCTGATGGGTACACAGTGATCGACTCATTGAGATGATTCTGGAAGGCAAGCTGAGAAGCAGGCATTTCAGCTCTATCAGTTCTCCTCAGCAGGTGAGTATTAAGGTTAATCTTTTAGGGATATGCAGGGAAATCTCATCAGATCGGTCAGAGTTCCCTTTGTCTCCTATTTACATAGGCAATGGACTGTGAACATTTCTCCAAGCTCAGTGTTGTAGGCAGTCATTTGGCTGTGCTGCTTCCTACAATCCCTTGTTGTCTTCTGGTGGTTGTTTCAAATGGCTTTTCCAGCTAAGAAAGGGATTAAAATACTGTCTCTGAATCCTGTAACTTGAGATGCTGAGTTGGTTTTTAGCTTTACTCTTGGTTTCTTTAAGCGTGTACAAAATCTCTGAAAACCTTGTGCTGTTAATAGTCACTGCAGTTGGTCTACTTTTAGACTCTGTGAGATGCTGCAGCGTTAACCAGATCCATGCTTTCCCAGTAAGGTCCGATGGGGTGCCTGCCTCTTGGGACACAACTACACTCCTAAGAGCCAGGCACGCTTTCCTGTGCTTGCTGGGCTTTGTAGTTGCACAGAAGAGCAACTCGGGGGTGGAACTGACTTCTTTCTTACTGCCTGCAAACTGTGACCTGAGGGAAGATTTTCCTGGGATGAGGGACAGCAGTCTGTTCCCTACCATCTGTAAGGACAGAGAGAGTACTGTGTCTCCCCTGGAAACTCCCCAGCATGGGAGAGACTCTTGCTGAGGAAAGGAACAGGAAGGCATTGCTCACATGCTTGGGGAACAGGTTAGGAGGGAGTAGCTGGGACTGGGCCAGGTGGGCAGTAATTCAAGGAAGAGTTGGGCAAGGCACATGAGATGGAGATAAACGTTTTTGCATGAGAATGAAAAATGGCTGCTGCTGGTGGTCTTGCCCTTTGTGCCTGCCTGTGAGGGAGGACAGGAAAATCTCAAAGGTTCCTGAGAGCTGCAGAAGTAATGAGGAGCAGCTGTGCACCAGCTGCTTCTGAGATCAAAGGGCTGAGTGCTTGCTAAGAAGTTTTGCCTCTGGGGAGTGTTTTATCTACCATGGGGAAGGAGAGCCAAATATCTGAATGCAGAGACAAGCCTGGGGCAAGCTGGTTGCATGAGAAGTAGAGGTTGTTGTCCTGGTATTCGGACAGCCAGTGATAAGATACTTCTTGAGATCTAGGGAACTGCTCTGCTTTTACCTCAGCCCTTCTACTGAGCTGTGCGTTCTCTCTGCTGCCTCTCAGCTGGTGTATGGAAAGGGAATTTTGTTGGGAGGTAGCAGAACCAGCTGGGAATGGGCCACAAAGATCGTGTGCATTTGCAGTCGTGTTTTGAGTAAGTGGTTAAGTGTATTCAGAAATTGGTGGGTGTGGAACAAATAGAGAACAAACCTTTGTGTTAACAACGGGGAGATAAAAGCTGAGGCAGTTGGATAGCGCATGTTATGCAAAATCCCTCTAAATAGAACATATTTGCAAATGCTGACTGAGTCGGGAACCTGTCTGGAGAAATAAAGGTATGTGTCCCATAATGCCAAGAACAGGAACCTAACGGTGGTGGTGGTGGTAGTTTGTGTTTACTAGTGTCTGTTAGCATGGGGGACTCCGAGAAAGTTAGAGATAAGGATGTGAAAAAGAACTTTCACTATCAGGATAGATTCTAGAGATGCTGTGGATGCAGAGGGAAAGCAGCAATATTTGGCACAGCATAGATCTGGGGAATGCAGGAGAGACAAGAATGAGTGCTAATAATCTAAGGCTACTTGAGGTGATGGGGCTTAATGGAAGGAGAAGCATAAACTTTGGTTGCATCATGCTGTCATTTACTGGGGAGTATCCGTTTTGGAGAGGCTAAACAAGAAGTAAAGTTGGATGTCTGGAAAGAAGCCAGCAAGAAAACAGGTTCATATGTCATCAGCCTGGGGATTGCATAGCAATCGTGGGAGTGAGGGAGATTGCTCCAAGATGGGGTATAATGTTTTTGTTGGAAATAATTTGTATGCTTTCGTTATTCCATGCCACAAGCTGCCTCCTTTTGGTTTATCTGTAAGGTTTCTGAGAGCATTACAGAAACACCAAAGATTTAAGGCTGCCTTGAGATAGGTCAGATGATGTTGATATTGCTGTTAATTGCAATTAGCACTTGGGCTGCTTACCCAGTGCTGCAGAGCGAGCGTGGGGTTTTGCACATGCAGAGAGTGCCCCTGCTACAACTACTGCAAAAGTAAATGGTAAGGCAGACAAAAGGTAAAAAGGAAAATGAGAACTTACAGGAGTATTTCTTTTCCTCCTGTCGTGGGAGGTGCATAAGAAATCAGTGGCTCATCTGGGATTAGAATGAAGGCTTTTTGTAGCTAGTCCAGACTCTACCTACTAGATTATAGTTCCTCTGATGCTGTTAATCAAAGATTAATGCATGCAATTGACTCTTGTCTTTAGTATTTCTTGATGTGGTAGCTATACTAGAACATGCTTGAAGTGTTTTTCTTAATCATTTTTATTCATAGAATAGAGCTTAAAGAGCAAAACCAGGGACTAATTAAATTAGTGGGCTGTTAAATAACTGCCTTTTAAATATTAACAAGAATTTCAGAATTATCTACTACAAACTAAGGCAGCTCTTCGTAAATGAGCAGCCTCTGTTTCATCCTTGGAAATAGCTTCCAGCACTGCTTAAAAAAAATGTGTTTTAATGCAGCCACATACAGGAGCGAAAAGAGGGAGCGCAAGTGACCTGTAGCAGTTTTCAGCTTTCCAGAGAGCCAGGTGCAGGGTGCCTTGGCTATGCCAAGTTTCTTTTAGCTAGCTTTGTTAGGACAGTTTAGTAGGCTTTAGTTATTAAAATATGGGTATGTTTTACTTGGGTAATTGAGGAATAGCCTAAGCAGTGGTATGTGCTGTCCTGTCCACCCACTGTAAAATACAGAGAACCATCGATACTAATATTGTTGTTGTTAATGTCTAAGCCAGA